AGAGGGCATAAATTTCATTGAATACCTCTATGCCCAGGCACTGTACTAGTCACTTCGATCAATTTAGTCAATTCACACAATTCTATAAAGGTAGTTATAAATTAGAAAAGCAGGGTCAAGGCTAGTGAGAAGCAAAGATCTGGCTCCAAAACCTATGCTCTGTGATACCACACTGTCTTTAAAACGTTGCAAGAATGAACACAAATGTCCTGGAACATGTACCTGTGTTTCATGTTTTAGGCATAAAATATCAAATAGTAGTATAACACTTCAAGATCATTGTTACTTAAATTTGATTTATGGTAGATATACAGATTTAACAAAATGCTAGCAATAAAATTACCTGCACTGTTATTATCATCATCCTGTTCAATGAAGACATGATCCAGAATAAAGCTGAGCAACTCAGACTGCAATGATGAATCAGGGGTGTAAACTAATGGTTCTAACATGTCACGCCCTCCTGACATAATCTGATGGCTGAAGATCATCAAAATATCACACAGAATAGTGAAGGCCTGTTTTTAAAAAAAGGACAATATGCTATAAATCAAGGTTTCTTACCAATTGCTACACGTTTAACAAAAAAAAATAGAATGCAACTTTCTATATTTGGAAATCTTAAGAGTGCAATTTCTATGATAATGATTACTAATATTTACATCATGTTTTACGAACCGCAAGGTAATTTCACAAATATTCTTTTTTATTTTTAGCACCATTATTGCTAATCCTCACCTGTGGATATTTTTTTCATTGAATTTTAGAGAGAGTGGAAGGGAGGGAGGGATGGAAGGAGGGAGAGAGACAGAAACATCTTGATGTGAAAGAGACACATCAATTGGTTGCCTCCCCCAGGCTCCCAGACCAGATTGAACCTGCAATCCAAGGACATGCTCTTGACCAGGAATTGAACCCAAAACCCTCTGATGCAAGGCCACACAACTCTAACCAGAGAGACACTGGCCAAGGCTATTTTTAGCAACCTTAAATGACTTGTGTAATGTGCTAAAATTACCAAAACATGCAGGCAGGACTCAACCTCAGGTTTTCTGACTCCAAATCCTACACTCTTATGGTATACATTCTCAAATATTAAATAATGCATAAACTTGGTACCATTCTTTTCTTCTATGGAAGAAAAAACATGATACCAAAGAGATGAATATCTCATAGAAGACCTCTTAGGAAATGGATAACAAAGTCTATGGTACTTTTTAAGTACTCTCAGTGCCAATAGTATATGTGGTGCTTAAGTAGAACAAACATAAACAAGTGTAGGCTGCTTACTACAAATTAGGCAAACATGATAGGTATCATAATAAACTTAAGGCTAAAGTTTTATTTCAAGGAGCTTAACAAAACTCTATCAGGAGTTTTAAATGAAGTCAAACACTGGTAAAAATAAGTCAGAAGGTAACAAAAAAGTTACCTGTTGGGAAGGGCCAATGAAAATAGAATTTGGGGGTCACAAAGTCAATAGGAAATTACATATAAAGGAAGACTACTGCTAGAAATACAAATTATAACATAGTTTTACCTTTTTGGAACTAACCACATTCCCTTTTTTCCTCTTTATGAATTTAATTTTTTTTTCAGTCACTTCTCATTTTACTACTACAGAAGTAATTTATAGCTACCTAGATATGAGTTTACACAAACTTTTGCAAAATACATACATAGTAACAATACAAAGTGATAAATATGGTTTCAATTTTTAATTAGGTAAACTAGCAGTTCAGGTGAGATGACCAGGATATAGTCCTAGAAGCTTGTTAGGAAGACTGAACACAAGCTATTTAATGACCAAACCATCTCCAAAACTTGAACAACAAATTACATAAGAAATTATATGTTTACACTGTTAAAAAAAAAAAAAACCACACACACACAAAAAAAACAGGGAATAAGTTGCATATCTTGGTGGCATATTTTGTATGTTAAGTTTAGATCAGTGCATACTTCATTAAAATCCTATTCTTATAAGTGTAAAATCTAAACTCAATTTACCACCTTCAGAAATTTCGTTCCTTTCATCTGAATTATAGAGATGAAAATTGAATTTCCAAATCCTTTACTGCTATAATAGAAAATTATATACTGAAAACTGGAAAGAATTCAGCAATGTAATAATTGTGGCAATATACTTTTGCAAGAATGCACAAAATCCAGTAATTGGGTGTTGGCCATTTAATATATTCTAACTTATTTGTGCCCAAGTATGTATATATGGAAGGAACAAAGGGAATTGAAAATAAGAAAACTGAGACCAACAGTTAGGTAATATAGCTAACATTTTAGCTGTAACAATCCAAGTGTATTTCTTTTTTTTAATATATTTTATTGATTTTTTACAGAGAGGGAGAGAGATAGAGAGTTAGAAACATCGATCAGCTACCTCCTGCACATCTCCTACTGGGGATGTGCCCGCAACCCAGGTACATGCCCTTGACCGGAATCGAACCTGGGACCTTTCAGTCTGCAGGCTGATGCTCTATCCACTGAGCCAAACCGGTTTCGGCATCCAAGTGTATTTCTTTAATATTAGTATAATACTCATTTTTTAAAAAATGAAATAAAGACAAGTGACAAACAAAAGAAAAGGGTTGAACAATTTGGTAGCTTCGTAGTTGAACAATTATAGTTGAACAACTTTCTTGGTAGCTTTAAGAAGTAAATATACCCTAAATTAAAACAAATAGTACTCAACATAACATAAGCTGCTGAAAACCGCACTTACAATGACTAATGGGGCTCTACCCCAATAAAAAAAGGCTAAGCAAAATGAAATGGTCATAAAACCTTGAAATCACCATAAGCATTTTGACTATATCGCTATTAATATTTCCTGTTAAATGATTATAAATTCATCTGTCCCACAAAAGCATTTGTCAAAAAAAAAAAAAAAAGATTAATCCTCTGTTAGGGAATTGTAGCTAAATAGGCTCTTAGTCCCAGGATCAGAATTTATTTCACAGGTGGGAAAACTACCTATGATACCAGGTAACAGTATATTTCCAGAATGAGAAGGTTAGCAGTATTGGAATCACAATGGTATAAGAGTGAAGACAACGTTCACATAAGAAAAAATAACTCACACAGTCACGATAGGCAGGAATGTCAATATCTGATAATATTCTCAGAGATGATAAAACCATATGGAACTTTCCTCCCTGAGAAATACTTGTTATACTAGTTACTTTCAGGAATAACATTTGTAATTTCATATATTTAATTTATATCTATGAGTCTGTTTACCAAGAGTGCCATAAAGAAAACAATAACACAGAATAAATACAATGAGGGTAATCTATAATGCAATTTATAAAATGTAAGTACAAAATAAATGCATTAATCTAATTTTTGAGCATGGTATACATGGATGGATATAAGTTATTTCTACTTTGCTCAATATCAGTATATTAAATTTTCTATTTCAGTTCAAATATTTATTAACATTGCTTTAAAAGATTGCTATATATAGTAATTACTAACCTGTTCCTTAACAGTAGTATTCACGTTGGTCAGATAATGCTGACATATCTGACAGAAAACCCTCATCTGTTTCTTTAAACGCAGCAAGTCCTCCTTGAAAAAAATTGCACATTTAAAAATACCATGTAAAAAATCCAGTACTTAAGGTACTTTAAATCACTTAAACATCATACATTTAACTACATTAACTCTGCTTATACATTAGATTTAAAGTTTTCTTTATCAGAAAGGAGAACTAAACATGAGACCAATTTTCTTCAAAATCGCAGCTTTCAAAATATCAGGTATATTAATGGATAATATTCTAAGTGGACTGGGTACTTCAGAATGAGAAAATTTATCTAACGCTACATATGGCTATCTTTAATAAACCCATTATCTAAAAATGCTTAAAGAGTAAGGATTTATACTCCATTCTCAGTTTGTAATTTGAAAGGTGGCCAACTTACGAATGGAAAAAAATTAATTTAAAAAAGAACTGCATCTTTCATTTCTTATGTGAAGGATACTGGTTGTACTTTTGAAAAATAGAAACAAAAATTAGCTGTGAGATATTATTCCAATTTTTAAAAATCATCCTATCTAATAAAAGACAAAAAGGGTAATTAACCGTACCTCCGCTAATTTGGAAAAGAGAGATTCTGAGTATGAACGAGATGATCCTAAAACAATGCCAAGGCTTGTTATCATCAATTTATGTAATCCAATAGCTGCATCTGCTTGTTTCAAAGGCTGTTGGTCATCGTTTACAAAATTTATGTTTCTCAGAAAAATACTCAATATGATAATATTGAGGATAATATGGAAATCCATAAATTGTGCCACCTTCAAATGTGAACAATTTCTAATTTTAAATCATACTCTGAAGCTAAACAAGTTTTCGATCAATACACATCAAACTATAAATACAATTATTTTTTAAAGTACACATGCCTAAACAGATCAAAAGCAAGACTTTACCAAAATAAATTGGTCCTATTAAATGTATAAGCTTGCTGAAAACAGTTAATGACATTAATAAAAACTACAATGAACTGCCACCAACCTTTGTAGAGCTGCTTTCACTTATCTTTGCAAGCTGCCAAAGGATTACATAGTGAGTACATTGCAGTGCATGAATAACGATCTGTAAAAAGAACCAAGAAAATAAAGTTAAAATTAAAGTTACAATTCTTCATTCTCAAAGTTAAGTATGAAACTTGTAAATAATAAAAACCTGCTCAGGCATGTCTCCATTTTCAATTCCGGTTTTCAATAGTTTGTAATTACAAGCAAACAAATCCCACTTTGAAAGGTCATGGGCACTGTAAAAAAAGAATTAAGTTATATTAAAAAGTTAAGCTTAATCACATTTGTTTTGGACTTGAGTGTTAACAGAATGATGTTAAAATATATCAAACTTTTTAATATGAATCACAACAGCAAAAATGTGTATTTCCTTACAAATATGTTAGTTCATAATTTTTCAGTGATTATCCAATTCAAGTACTTTTCCCCAAAAAGCACAAGAAACTTAGCAATGAATTTGATAGCTTTATAACCTCAAATTATGCAAGTTGGTATTGCTACACTTTTAAGAAATCAGAAACTTTAAGATTCAACTTACTTATGAAAAGCAGTTATTCTCTTCAATGTTGACAATACCTGGTATGCATCATCTTCATCAGGTTCTTCACCCTATGAATATTAATTATACAACATTAAACATTAATAACTACCAAAGTGAAACACTTCAGGCTATCACATTGGCGACACTTCCTTGAAAAGAAAGAATAACCTAATAAAACCCAAATATTAACTGTGCCAGTATATACCGAAATCTGGCTAAATTTAAAGTAATATGGCTGGAATAATGAGGTGACACAGTTGTTATCACAAGTACATTATACCCAAGAGAGAAAAAGTGAATGACATTCTCACTTTTTCCTTCATGTAACCTAGACACAAAACTATGAAGACATCTGCTCTTTCACAATAATAAATACATAAGGACAATAAAGAGAAATATATTAGAGGACAAGCAAAAGATCATAAAGATAACACCTACAGGACAAACCCTACACAAAAGAAATAGAGCACTCAAAAAAGATGTATCAGACCAATCACAATTAATTTGGAAAAAAAGCTCTGAGTAAGGACTAGGCATGCTAGTCCTTTCTGGACATCAACTTTACAATTTAGAGTGACTTAAGTTTTTGAAAATTGTATGAGTCTTAATACATGAAACTTATAAAGTTTGTTAAATACTTCCCAACTTACTGTATCAAACCCTGGGTCTCTCAAAAAATGCTTAGTTGTTTTTAAACTTTAATTTTTCTACAAAGTAATTAAACTTAATTAACAAAATACTGGTTGATTTTAAATTATCTTGTCCTAGTAACAATCACATTCAGGGAAGAATACAGCCATTAAAAATTTTAACTAATAATGTCATCATTGTCCACCAAAATATTTGAACAAACTGCCAATTAAGCAAAAATTAGTAAGCATGCAACGTTACACATGAACAAAAAGAACATTAAAAAATTCTAAAACAAGAAACCTGAAAATTACAAAGTCCCTATGATTTTTGCAGCATTAATGATAAATGTGATGTTGAAAAGACTTAAATACATAAATTTAAGTATGAATTTTTATTGTATGCAAATCCATTAGACTATTAAATATATTTCCAGAGATGATAAAAATCACAATAAAAATACAAGTGTGTTTGAATGCCATGCTTTAAGCCTCTTTAGAAATACAATAGATAGAACATCCAAAACCCAAAGTTCGACAGTGGGTATAACAGCAGTTCCTCAAAGTTTTATGATATCAAAGACCATATACTAAGAAATACAGTACCCTACTTTTGAGACTGCATGGCCAGAGGCTAGCTCTACTTTTCTGTTCCATAATAGCCTCATATTCAACTAAACCCTGGCAACTTCCCAGATCATTTCTTTAAAATAAAATAAAAAGATGTTAGTTTTGCGTTCACCTTCCCCCAAGTCACAGATTTTACCACCTTCCTCTGTTGGTGGAGGAGTAATAGTAGCATGATGAATCATAGAACAAAAAGTCTGAACATCTTTTCAACATACTGCTAGAGACTATCACCAGGACAGGTGAATAATTCAGTTACTGAAGGGGAGGGGGCCCAACTGACAAAATACTTGTAATATATACCTCTTGCAGAAAATCTTCAAGGAGCCGGTTAAATTTATCCGCCAACTCGTCTATCAGTTGACTTCTTGAAATATCTACTCTGTTGAAGATTGTAAACTCTTCATTACAGAGCGCATGGTAAGTTTTAGAACATGCTTCCAAAACATCTGTATCTGTGTGCTTCTCTACAATATTCCGGATTTGTCGTAATAAGGCATCCAAATGCTGCAAAATCAAAGTTGTTGTTTTGTTTTGTTTTTTTCATTAAAACGAATGTATACATGGTAGGCATAAAATGAGTACACCATGATGGTGAAAAGCTTAAAATAAAGTAATTCTGCAAGTAGGACATACATTTTGTGGTGTTTTTCTAGTCATGATAAATAAATGCACTGATCCACCCATACTTATTTCCTTAACATTAACAGGAATAATATCACCATTTCATAGGGCTCTGATGAGAATTTTAACACATAAAGAACTTACAACAGTTCCTGGAAATTAAAAATATTCAATGGATATTAGCTGCTTTCTTTTTGTAATTGTAATTGTCCTGTTACCCACCCCCAATCTCTGTAAATAATCAGTGATAGTCACATAATGGCTAGGAATGAGAGTATGGCTGTGCATATGAATCAAGGGGAAGCTGCATTAGTGCCATTCTCTAAATCCAACTTAATAAAATACAGAAGACATGTAAGCTATGTTTCCTTACACATTAGAAGTTACAAATATATTTTTAAAAATAGTTTAAAACAATATGATGAACTAAACTAATACTTTTTCAAGGGGTTTTAATACACAGAGAACAGCATACCTTTTCTAATCGTCCAGTGGTATATATTTCCAAGTCAAAGTATTGAGGCAACTGCAACAAGTTAGTCACCTTTTCTGCATCTACAGAGTACTTTGAAATTTAAAAAAAAATTAAAAACTTCACAGTAATGGTAAACATTACAATAAAATTCTGTGTGACATTTTCAAACAAGATCTGTCATTTCTTAGTAACATTCTGATATTGACATAAACTTACTTTAGCTAATAACTGAGGAAGGGCCACAGCAAAAAGTTCAGTGATTTTTGTCCTGTCATCCAATTGGGTCTTCTTCTCCTTCGCTGTCAGCACCTAAAAGGTAACACGACATTTATAAGTACTAAGCCACTGACACTGTTACGTACTCTCTGTTTAAGATATACAAAATAAATAATAAAAGTACATTTTAGATGATGGATACAAAAATTTCTACTATAAAACTTGAAACGCAAAAGTGACAAAGAGAATAACCTGCACATTATAACAAAAAAAGCCACCTAAAATAACAACCACACAAAAAAAACCAACTTTGAATAGTTCTACAGGCAAAATCAATACCCAATTAGACTAACCAAGAAGCAGCTGTTAGGAACAGGAACTATAGTTTAGGAGCTTACATAATAATAGGATTAAATACCATTTCATCCTACTCTAAACTGTAGGCCATGATCCATGCGTTATGAATTCAACATAGTAAGTCACTACCAGTAATTAAAAAACAGAAAGGAAACAAAAGAAAATAGAATACATCACATACTCTAAGTTTTATTATTTGATGAAATTTCATTTAGTTACACACAAAAACATATATATAGATATGTACTAGGTCATAATATAAAATTCTATTTTTGTGCTTCACAATCAAAAAAGCTTGAAATGTAATTGTTGGTCTACAATACAAATATATGTGAACTTTGGAATAATACATTAAAATCTAATCCCAGGAAACAGGAATTTCCCCATATTAAATATATTTTAGAATTGATTTGTTATTTACTTTTCTTTATAATTGATTTTTAGAGAGAAAAGAAGGGAGGGGGGAGAGAGAAACATCGATGTGAGAGCGAGACATCCAACAGCTGCCTCCTGCCCGGCCCCTCACTGGGGATAGAGCCCACAACTCAGGCAAGTGCCCTGATGGGGAATCAAACCCTGTTGGTGCATGGGACAATACAAAACCAGCTAAGCCACACCAGCCAGAGGAGGAATTTCCCCTCTGTAATGAATAATTATGTTTTCTTCATTAAAAGCAAATCTAAAACCCTTGGCAAAGTATCTAAGGTAGTTAGAGTGTCATCCCAATATGCCAAAGTTGTGGGTTCGATCCCCGGTCAGGGCACATAAAAGAATCAGCCAATGAATACATGAGTGGAACAACAAATCTCTCTCTCTTCCTCTCTCAAGTCAATCAATAAAAAACTGTAAAGCAAATCTAAAAATAAACCAGGATGGACAAATGCACCATTCTAAAACAGTGCACTATATTCAGTCTTAAAGGCACGAACTGTCAATCACTGTATCTCTGCAGTAACTAACAAAGTATCTTATGGAAGTTTTCCAAATTGCTAATGTTCTAAAATTTACTCCTAACATATATTTACAAGCAAAGATCATCTGAAAAATAAAAGATTTTAAAATTTGATTCTATAGTTATAAATGTAATTTTATAAATGGTATTAAAAAAAAGACATAGTTTAGAATACTAAAAATGTATTGGCATACCCTTTTTCCTGTCCCTCTTCCCACAGGAGGATGACATTCAGCAGCTTGTCTGATGGTACAAAGCATTATTTCAATCAGAGCACTCTCTTGTCTGTCTGTCAGTGCTGAAAAAACAAAATCAAAGTTAATCTATGTATTTTCCCTAAATGCCATTTATAATTATTATTACATAAGAACTCCTTCTGCCTGTGATAGACCTAATATATATTATTATTTATTTATATATATATATAAATAAAATTCCATTACTGTATCATAGAAAAGATCCAAACAAGTGAAACCTTCCTAAAAATTACAAATCTGTATACAACTGGTTCACAATTTGAGCAAAGAAAGTATGAACACAGATACAAAAAAAAATTAAAGAATGTTGAGGGCAACTACATCTATCTACATAGCATAAAATTCATGTGTATGAAAACAGAATTATTCACAAAGGTTTTTCACTCAATTATTTTAGCACAATAATAAACAAATGGAATAAGTAAAACCTATTTTCAAAACTGTCTAAACAATAAAAATACCATAATTAAACATCCTTACCTTCCTCTCCACTAAGTGGCTCCTCCAGCAACAAGCTATTCATACATTCCCAGTCTTTCAGCAGCTCAGTAGCACAGTCCCACATGCTATCCACAAGGTATGCTGCATGCTCATGTAACTAATTAAAAAAGAGCAAGGTACTCTTAAACAAATAGCATACTAGCCTTAACTCAAAAGAAAGGAAGCTTTGTGGACACCATGTACAAACGTAAACAGCAATCTGCTTTTGAGTTAAGATGGAAGAAAGGACAGAGAAAAATGGCCTTACTTGCTGTGTATAAGTAAACCTTGCTAGTTGGTAGCATTCAACATTTCTGATAATAATCTTTAACATGAAAATTATTTTTGAAAATATTACATGCATGCATATTTAGAGCCTAATTGGAATTAATATTACATGAGTTAACTGTTCTAAATTATAAAATACTAGTGTCCTGGTGCACAGATTTGTGCACATTGAAAGAAAATTAATTAGAAGAAATATTTTAATATCACTATTCACCCTTTCTCTATAATAGAGTATCAAACAAATTCACGATTGACAATGTCAGATCAAAACACATGCGTGTGATTGGCACCAGTGAGAACTTTGTATGTACCGCACATGCGTTAGTCAACTTAGCACATGATGTACAGATGTAGTAAGCAGCTCCTTTGTTACTATTATAATTAGTTAGTTATTAAGAACTAGAGGCCCCCTGCACAAACATTTGTGCACTCGGCAGGGAGGGGGGTCCCTCAGCCCGGCCTGTGCCCTCTCTCAGTCTGGGACCCCTCAGGAGATAACGACCTACTGGCTAGGCCCGCTCCCCAGGTGGCAGAGGGCAGGCCCGATCCCTCAGTGCATGCCCTGCTTCCCCGGGTTGCATACACAGCAGGGCCGATCCGGGCTTTAGGGCGCCACCCCGTTGCACAA